TAACCTGATTTTTACTTTAAGTAACTCGTAGAATAAACCTGATATATCTACTATCTCTCTACAATCAAATTTTATTGACATATTTCTGTATGGGTTTTAAAATAAAAAGTGTTTTATAAAAAATTTACTTTTGAAATTAATTAATCCTCCAATATACAACATATTTCCCAATCGTATATTCTTTGTTTCAGCGTATATTAGAGTAACAAACACGTTTTACAACACTGCCAAATATACACTTGTCAATTGTGAAATTTAACTAATCCCCCTTATAAATCTATCAAACTCAATTCATAAATATGGACAAAGACAAGAAAAAAGCTGGCAAAAATTTGGAACACATGAATCTCACGAATGCTCAAAATCGAGCAGTGGTGGTTAAAGTTCCAAAATATGTAGCACAGAAATGGGAGTCAGCGCCATCCGATATAAATGCTGGGAAACTCACGGTAATAAAAACGCCTGGACAAAAACCAATATTCGAGTTGTCACTACCACCTGAAGTGGTAGAACTGAAACCGGAAGGAAAAATACCAACTGAATATACACTTCAGGTATCAAATGTAAACGACCAAACATATGGCGTTTTTTCGACCGAAGCAAGTGAACAGTTATCAAGTGGATCTGAAAAAATATCTATGGAGGGGTGCATAGTAAAAAAAATAGATTGTAAACCACAAATTAACGATTCTTATGTAGCATTTAAACGGGAGGCAGTACAAAAGGCATCTGAATCACGTCGAACAGTTTACCTTTTAGATAAAGTTGTGCCACAGTACAAGCCCGTTACGGATCATGCCCACAACGTCAGTAATTTTATATAAACATGATTATTAGAAAATACTGATCATTTATTAAAATATTTTTATTACAGATTGAGTACCGCAATCGTAAGAAAGCTGAAGGTAAAAAGGTACGTGACGATAAAAATTTTGTAATGGGTTTACTCTTCAATGCATTCGAAAAGCATCAATACTATCACATTAAGGACTTAGTGAAGATCACGAAGCAACCTATAGCATATTTAAAAGAAATACTTAAGGAAATTTGTAATTATAACATGAAAAATCCACATAAGAAGATGTGGGAACTTAAGAAAGGGTATTGTCATTACAAGTCCGATGAGAAAGAGAAAGATGAACAGTCTAACGCGGACAGTGAATCAGAATAGCACTAATTTTTTTTTTTGACTAAGCTAACAGAACTGTGATTAAATTTAATCAGCCATTTTTTTATTGTTGTAATCTAAAGATCTTGAAAATTTAATCTAGTTAAGCTTAGATTGATAATAAAATATTTAAAAGCAAAGAAAACATTTCATTACTATGTCATACTTGTTTTTCTCCATTTTTACAGCCACCTTAAATCGCCCAATAAAAAAATATCACTAATTATTATTTAATTACAAATAGTTTTATTTTTTAAATTTCTTTTTGTAGCACTATTTCTGATATCACTATTTCTGATATGAGTATGCAACTCATGTGCAAAATTTTCCGAATACCCTACATACCCCACGTACTCTATTTGCTCTGCAACTCTAGTTCGTGTTCAATAAAGTGGAACATACTTTCAGTTTACTTTGATTATATATTCCATGATAATATTTAAACAGAAAATTAATGAAGACTTTATCATATCGGGTTTTTTAAAATCTTTTAAGCAGATCTACACAGCTGTTTTGAGGATTTGTTAGTAACAAGAAAAGTCCTGAAATTATGTCTTTTTTCTTGTTATGTTCTGCGTAAAGCGTTAATATAAAAGCTGTTTTCATCCACCATGCCGTCATAAAAGTCTATAGTCTTAACTATTTATATTGCAAAAACCAAATTTTTCCTCCACCAAAAAAAAACTCCTTATACGGTATATAAGTAGGTGAATATAATTGTCGTATATTGCACATGTATATGTTCTTCTTCTTCTTCTTCTTGAGTTAGTGCTATTACGCACTTTTACTCTATAATGGCTGGGGGGCTTATCTCTACCCCACACTAGGCTTTAACTAGGCTAAAAAATCATATTATTTATTTGTCTTTTAGTTGATGACGGACCTTAAATCAGGATATCTTCCTGAGAGTCCAGAAGTGGACTTGAGGATTGTTAGGGTGGGGTTATGTAGCGTATCAACTTTAGTGAATAATTTTAAAGCTTTGTCTCTGATATATTTTTTCACTGAGTCAATCCTAAGATCTCTATGTATGTCTGTTGATCTAATGTACCATGGAATCTTAAACAGTTTTCTTAAAGCCAGGTTTTGAGCTATCTGTAATTGCTTTAAGGTGGTATTTGAGGCTTTGCTATATGTAACACATCCGTACAGAAGTGCAGGTCTAATTACTTGCGTATAAAGTAACTTTCTGTTTTTAAAGTTAAAGTGATAATTATTAAATTGCGGCTTTAATAAATGTAGAATCTTAGAGCAGCTATTCCGTTTGTATTTCAAATGTTTAAGCCAACCGTTTGTCAAAAGTGACCCCCAGATATTTTATGTTATCCTCCCACCGTATCTCCGTGTATATGTTAATATAAATTTAATTTGAAATGATGAAGTCTAATCAGGGTCATAATTGGAGCATCATGCATCATCATCATTATAGCTAATTTCTTAAAACAAATTTGAAAAGTAACTCCACATTCATTTTCATTAGAGTTACTCCATACCCAATAATAATAGTTCGCAGCGTATTCAGTTAATAACCGATTCTCGGTTTTTCGAACGTCGATTGGTGGATGGATTATCATTTGCGCCCATATTTGACTTCAGGAGACCTCGTTACCTATCTTAGTTTAATATGCATATCTCTATTGTAGAAACATAGGTTTATACTATGTACTTATATACATGATCTAAGCTTACCCTCTGCTATGAATTTGTTTATTAAACTTCTTTTGCTTAATGATACAGTGTTTTACTAGATTAGTTCAAATATTACAAATTTATTTCTCTTGAATCAAATGTATGAAAAGAAAACATTAGCCTACGAAATAAATATCCTCTTAATATATATTATTTTGGCACGAATTTGCAGTTTAACTCATGATATTTAGACATCAGAGCGTTTTTGATCTTTCTAATGGTTACTTCACTCACATCTGCCGCATTGCTACTATTCTTTGGGTTGAGCTAATGACTGGTAATCTAAAAATGTACAATTAGTTACTAAATATAATAAGATTGCATTTGAAGTATAATGTGATTATTACCTGACATTATTATCAATTATTGGAGATTTATTGATCGCAATTCGCTTTTCATTTACTTGTCTTGATATATTGATTGCAGTACTTTTCATCATATCGAGCAAACCTCTTTGGATTTAAAAAATTGAATATACTTAACAGTTTAATATTATATGCGATTGAAAATATACCCACATTTGCGCAAAAGCCTGCTAGAAAATATTCATTGATAACAATTGGTAACACAGTCAACGCTGTAATGTAGGAGTCTTGTGACTTTCTTATAGAAGGGTCCAATATCCATCACTCATATTAGAAAGAGCACAATAGGAATCTCTTTAAAAGAATGCAATGCGCCTTCTTGACGACAATGTATTAGTAAGCACGCTGCTGATTTACTTCAAATTGAATAATGTATTTAGTGCAGTTCATCAATCTGAAATTGATACTCACATATTATAAATGTTACTGTTAATATAAATACCGATAACATATTTCTTTTAAAAAGTTCTTATATGAAAATAAAATAATTCTGTAAAACTCAACGATATATTGCAGAAGAAATCAATAGCACATATTCTTAAAAAAGAAACCTTCCATACATCATTTAAAGTAAATCCAAAAGTATGTCTATAAGTTGATCAATTAACACATTTATCACACAATTTAAATAGCTCTTAAAGGTTGGTGTTTAATATACTTATCTTCCTCGGTCGAAAATTATTTGGGTTAAATTAATCCGAACTTCCTTTTTATACGCTCTAATATGCGACCGCACATAACTTTATAATCGTCCTGCCCTATACCTTTTGAATTAAATTTAGCTTGACGAAGAACTTGTAGGCAGAGCACATTAAGGTTCGTTCTATTTCCTACATTAAGCCAAGGGATGCCAAAGCAATTACCCCAGATTTTTTGCTTATATTGGCCCATTTTTAAAACATAAACATCACTCATAGCCAACATCAATTATTCGATCAAGAACTAGTCCGCACACAGAACACACAATATCTCCAGTACGGTCACGGTTAACAAGTGGAACATCTTCATGATATTTACAATATATTTCGCTGCTGATGATGTTTAGTAAATAAATAATAAAATTTTAGAACACACATTAACATGAGTCTTCCATTATAGTAGCAGGTATTACATTTTGGGTTTAGAAATATTTTCAATATGAAATTGACGAAAGACGAGCTGCAATAGCTGAGCGTTATGGTTTGAATACTTGTGTTTCTTAAGGTTTTCGTAGGAGATGAGCTGCAGTAGGTGGAGATTATGGTTTGAATATTTGGATTACTCAATTTTTTCGCAAAACGAGCAGCAGTTGCATCTACTGTACAGTAAGAAAAATGCACTCCTTCCCTTCGATATTGTGTTGAGAATATTTGGTTACCGGACATATTAAGAAACTGCAATGAATCTTGTTAAAATTTCTCGATGTACTAATACATGGAAGTTCGTAGACTGCTGTATACTTTAGAAAACTGATAATAGTATCTACGCTATTCAGTAGAGGTCAGTTGTCATTAAGAATAAAATGATATAGCCTTTGGAGATGTTGATATCCAGAGAATGTTGTTGTCAGAATTGTTATTATATTATTTAATATGTTAATATGTGTTGTATATTGCAATGCAGATATTGTATTTGTAACAAAATATCGTGTCCATGTGTCTGTGTATCTATGAGAAAGATAATATCTGTCTTTTGAGTGTCCAAATAATATCAGTCGCAATAATGATTTATCATTTTTCTTAATAGGAGGTTTAATTTAACATCGAAACGATTTTCAGTTTCGGTGAAGTTTGTAACTCTGATTTTTAAAGCTTGATATTTATTATATACCTATAATATTTTGATGATGTTTGCTTTATTACTCAATGTAATGTTACACTGTTTTAATATACTCGATATGTTGCAAACCTCGTTTGTATACAACTGCAGTCAAATTTGGGTTTGTTGAAGATATACGTCTTAATACTTGAGTGATAGACTCCTTTTAATACTTGTTCTATTAAACCTACACATTTTTTAATCTGATTAATTAGATTTACGGAGTAATAACAATTTTAAGTTGAAAAATGTCAGCAGATATTTAAAGATGAATTGTTTTAGTGAAAGTATTGATAGACCTTGTACACTATTTTTGTTTAAGATGGGCTTTCTTATTCAAGCTGGATTATAGTGTCCTTGATTGGCTTTCTTCCTTTGTACATTACCGGATATCTTTTCGGCTTGAATATCGATGGCTTCTTCACAGCAGATTCATTAATTCTTTTTACCTCTCTTGATATTTTTGATCTTAATTCTTCTTGCTTATTTTGACTGGCTAAAGGCACAACGACTTCTTAATCGTTAGAATGAAACACATTTTTTTTTTTAATTTAAATTTAAATTCAAAATTTAATTATTAAATATTTCTTTACCTTTGGCATTATCTTTTTGTATTTCTTGACTTTCCTTTCCGCTACACTTATTTTTTTCGTTATTACTCTCACCGACTACGATAGGAGAATTTACTGGAACCATAACTCTCCTTGCAGCTTCTAATGACTTATCTCTGCGATACATATACGGGTATAGCTTATTTTTCATAGTTGACGGTTTATTGACATATTTATAGCATTTCAAATAGATTACTTGGTTGATGTTCGCAGATTCCTCCATACTTTCAGAGATTAGACGAGAGTACTGAAATCTAAAGCATAATGATTCAGACTGGATTCATTTAAGAATAAACACTAAAAAAAATTAACACATCGCTGAGTGTGTTACTAGCCTATCAGGCACATTCACTAATTCAAAATGCATATGTAATATATAGAAAATTTGATCTTCGGGCGATGCGTTAAAATTTCATGATATTTTACCTAGTAATTATTGAGAAACAGATATTTAGTTGGCGGTACTTTTGGTATTTCAAAACAACGACCTATTACCATTTATTCTATTAATTAATAAAAAAAAAATAACTGATTATCATAATAAGTTTCTAAAGCTTTATTTAAATATTTTTAATTCAATATAAATTATTTTATTATTTTCAATTATCCTGTTTATTAAAAATGATATAATTAAAGTATCTCAACAAAAAAATTATTTAATAGTTCTCTTTTCTCTATTAACAAAATTAGGAGCAGCCCCTTTCCATTTTTGCTTTCCTTACGCATCAGAAAAATTATCCTGAATAAATTTAATTACTCTAGAAATTGTTAAAATATTTTATTGCTTTTTTTTAATGGGAAGAAATAAAAGGCAATCCCAACAATGGTTTCAAAAGTTTTAGGAAAATCGTGCTTTATTGAAATAAACTATTTTCAGTGATTTGCCAAATTTAAATGTGACCCTCAGACATCTATAATGCTGGACGTCGAATTCACTACTTAGTCTATAAAATATGAAAAAAGTTAACGAAATTAATTTAAATGATTGTTAAGTAACGCATTTGAAGATGGCCGATATCTAAGAGACAATCAAAGACAATACAAAGGCATTAATAGAAAAATTGATGTTGGTTTATTGCCTTAGCGACAAGAATGGTAATACTACATATTTGGTCACAGCATGAACAGAGGAACAGAAACAGAAAAAAGGAAACTATTTTAAATTATTTCTATTTATGTCCATCTCTTTAGACCCGGAGCGCAGTTAGCTTAGTTAATCCGGTCTTTAATAATTTTGCTAGCAAAAGTTTCTAAATCAAACAAACGATTAGTTGGTAACAAAAATATAGTAACAAAACGACGCGAAAGCGCTAATTGTATCTATAAAGAGCAACTACTTAAACCAAATTGGTTTGCTTGACAAAGAAATAAAAGAAAAGCCTCCTTTAATAAAGATAGTGAATCTTGTTATAAGTCATTAGTTAGGATATAAAACTCATGAGCACTAGATATCTGCTTACTTATTTCTTAAAATTAATGGCTACTATGTATTCCATATCTGCTCTTAAGCCCTAATAAACAGTATTATCTTTAATAGCTATTACCGAAACGACATGTTTTCACGTCACATCCCAACACACAATCTAAAAGTGTGTTGTGATGATGACCTGTTCTTAAATGTGATTGATCATGTAGGTATGACCATGACAACATAGTTTTGGATTATAATAGTGAACTCCAAAATTCCTGATAAAAAGCCTGGTATTAATTTCCGAATTCTTCTTTTTGGTAAAAAACGATTCGGTACTCGTAGTATCGAGCGGAAATTTATTGATTACATTATTTCAATAATGGTTTTATATAAGGATATATATGTTAACATTATTAGGAACGTAGTTAAGGTAGTTAAAGATGTGTGTATCATTTGTGAATTTCAAGAAATAGTTCGCTTCAACATTAGCGACAAAGTTCAGATCGTAAAAACTAGTAACTCCAAAAATTTTTCGTAACAAGTCGAAATTAAAAATTAAAATCTTAGTTTACAAATACAGTCAAACTTCCATAACTCGAAGTTCAATTTTGCAAAGAAAAAGGTTCGACTTATGGAGATTTCGAGTTAGAGAATATTTTTTTTTTTTGCTTTTGAAAGAAACTAGAATTACGTTTTAAGATATTTATTTATTTGCAATAAAATAAAGCACAGAAGTTATAGTGAAGTAAAATATTCAGAAATTAGGGTTTGGGACTTTGATCCCTCATTATCACCCTCATCACTTTCCGTTGCGCTTAGAATAGGATCCAGTAATTTAGAGCTATAGTAGGAAAGCTATCTATCTGTAGGAAAGCTTGATGTACAAATTTTATTGCCAAGCTCAATATAATTGTTAAGAAAAGCATTAGAAGTTATTTTATTTACTTTAAACCACGCTGCCAGGGTCTGACATTTGCACAAAGAAGCAACATAAGAAAGAAAAAATTAAACATTTGGTTTGGAAAAAGGGACTTCCTCTTTTATAGAAGTTCGAGTTATGGAAGCAGAATTGTATGTAATTTGCTCTCTAAAACCTTGGTGCACTGTTTTTCGAGTTATAGAAAATTCGAGTTATAGAAGTTTGACTGTAAATCCTTTTGAAATGTAAAGGTTTTAAGAAACCTCTACATAGGAACAAATTCATCTCATTAGTTCCTACTGCACTTTTCCCATATTTGTGTTTTTAAATACATATTTATTTCGTGCGAAAAAAAAATTTTAAAATGCTGGTAGTCATCTTTCAGTCCATAGCGTAATAATAAAAAAAGACATTTGAAAATTAGCTGCCTCCCGGACATTGTGTATATAATAATGGCGAATACATTTCGAATGCAGTGTAAACACATGCATTTCAGCTCTACATGCATTTCAGCTCGTATTTCGCAAATAAAACATTTTGCAACATTGCGAAATGCTTTCAAATTCCCTGTGAGCCTGCAGCATTTTGGATACGAAAATGGAAAAACGAAACGAGTCTCAACAAAAGTATCACTCTTCCATTGGCATTTCAACTGGCGTTCTGTTTATTTGTGATGCTGTTGCTTGTTATCGCATTGATGGCAACCGATTCATTGCGAGATGATGGCAACAAGACTGGGTTGAACGCTTTTTTGTGGTCGTATGATTATTGTGCACATAAATGCTTGCCACACCGTAAAATGGTCTATTATGGCATGATAAGCCACGTTGAGCTCCTAAAATTCAATAGATTCAAGCTGAACAGGAAATTGAATAGTTAATTTGTTGCGAACTGCAGCAAATGTTTGAAAATGCCTCTGCACTGCTGATGAATGCCAAATTAGGATTGGTAACGCTTGAGTTGACCTAACAAGATTAAACTACTGATAAAAATAAATCGCTACGCTAATGTTACATCAAAAGTGTATTTTTCAAATTTTATTTAAAGTATTTAGTTAAATTATATATGTTTTACTTATAACATAACAAATCTCATTTCGAATAACACAAATAGAAGTTGTGTATAAGCCGTGATGTGAGAAAGCTACCCACATCAATTGAATTACAATTTTTGTTTTTTAACATTACAATTTTAGAGGTAATGTATTAGACTTCCTCCACATATTCGAATTTAATTAGTTTGAGCATGTCAACGCAAAAAGGAAACTAACATGGCAATTATGTCTATCACGATACTACAGCACCTCTATACTTACTGCCCAATAACACACAGAATATTATTTAAGAGTAAATTAAAAAGTATTTTGCTGAAAATTTCTTTATTTCTAACTTCTGGAAGGCTTTAAAGTTCCATTAGAATGTTGGAAGGCAAAATTTTAATATATGTTCATCCATTGCATCTTTCCACAAAATCACTAGTAATTCACTAGTAATTAAGGTGCTATGCTTCAATGGAAGGAACTAATGATGATGATGATGATTAGTATTTCACTAATAACTTCCAACCTAGGGATAGCTCTATAATTTTTTCTTTTAGAATAATTTTACAGCCAATGAACATTTTAAGGTGATCTGTTTCTTTCAACAATATTCATATCTTTAATTCAGGGAATTATATTTGTAAAAAAAAATTTAATAAAAATAATATCTATACCAGTATTCGTCAATGAGTTTGGTCAGAAAGTAGTTGTTGTTGGGATCTACTTGTGAAGTAGCTTTGGGAGGTGTCGAACGGCACTTGGTTCGATTGGCTCCGGGACGTATATCCGCCAGCTCTTTCTTTTGCTTTCGTTGTAGTCAAAAGTCGTTTCTTTTGGGCAATGAGTTTAGTCAGAAAGAAGTTGTTGTTGTTGTTGTAACCCGTTGTAACCAGTTGTAACCCGCTTGTAAAATGTTTTTGGGAGGTGTCGAACGGCACTTGGTCGTCGTTGGCGATGAATAGTGTAGATCCGGCCGTTCTTGGAAGTTGTTTCTTTTGCTTTGGTTGTAGTCGAAAGTATTATCTATATCTCTCGCTTCTCTAAAAATGTCATATCGATCAAAATAATAAGATATTTACATAAGAAAATTTACGATAAAAACTTTGCTAAATTTATCTTCAACGCAATTAATTAAAAATTTAGAAAATCAACTTTGATTCTATATTATTTCCGAAACTTTATGAACAAAAACATTTTATATATCAATTTATAGAATATTTAATCAGTTAAAATAAAAACGCATGTTTTTTTTCGAAAATTGTATTTTATGGTTTAATATAATTCTATTTAAGTTCAACACTCCGAGTCCATCGATCTTTCAATATTTGGAAACCTCATTTTCCCATTCAAATTTATCATTTGATGCAAATCTTTTTCGCTGGAGTCATCTTTTCAGGTTTGGAAACGGGTAATAGTCACTGGGAGCCAAATATGTAAAATACGTGGGTGAAGAAGCAATACGTACAGTAATTCATTTAATTTTGCCATGATTTTCATTGACATATGACAAATGTGTTCGTTTTTTCTTGATTTCCTCACTCAATTGATCCAATAATATACAACATCAATCTGGTGTTATTGTTTTTCCTTTTTCCAAATAGTTAATGAAAACTGTTCCACTTGAATCCCAAAATACGGAAGCCAAAACTTTTCCCACCGATTATTAAGTTCGTGGTCGTTTATGAGCACTACTCCCAGGCTCTACCTATTCTCTGGCTTGTTATTTTCACTTAGTTGTAAAGTAATAGGTCAATGTTTTATTAATTCTCACTAATCGACGGTCACAGTCAGCTAGATGGTGCATAAACATTTCCATACAATGTTTTGAATGATGAAGTCGTTGTCATTTTTGGTCAATTATAAGCAAACGCAGCACCCATCTTCCCGAAAGCTTTTTCATACCCAAATATTCATGTAAAATATTCGATACAAGTTTATATAATATATTTGTCATCTCTGCTATTTTACACAACTTATTTTTTGGATCGTCGATTTTTTCAATGTTTTTTTCAGTTGTGATTTCTTTTGGACGACCCGGACGCTCTTCATCAAAACATCTGTATATAAGTTTTCTGTGCTTTAAGTACTATGGTACTTCATTAGCCTAAACAAAATATTCGTCGTCGAAATATAACTACATTTTCTATTCTACATTCTATATCAATATCTAAACTCGATGCTATGATAATATTATAACAGTTATTATATTTTATTTATTTTGTGATCGATCCATTTTGATGACTATATCTATTTTTGAAGTTATTGAAAACTTATTAAACATAAAAAAAATTTCTTTGTGTATTATTTTTTTCAAATATTTTATTTATTAAATTTATAATAAATAATACCTAACTAAATTCATTCTATTCGATATGTTGGCAGTAAAGGAACATTCTCTACGTATTTATTCTCTTAACAACCAGGACCCAATTACAGATAGCATGAAGTGATTAAATAAATATATGACATCAACCAATTGCATTTTAAGTAAATCTTTTTCATTTGTATTTGAAAATAATATATATATGAAAATTTTTATAAATTTTCCGTTCTATATTTTTCCTTAATTTATTATTTCTAGAGCAATTCCAAAGTAGAACTTAAACGCTTTTACGCTCTTATCTCTGAACCCTCATATTTTCCGCACTGGCATTCATTTGCACCAGCCGAGCAAACACACTATTTATCAGTAAACTTACACAAAACACACCTTCAACTTTCACTGAAACTTAATACTTTTCGATACTTGTAATCTGGTTGTCTTGGAAAACATAATGGAAATGGTAATGTGAGGGTAATGGTGCTAACTTTTAAGTTTATAGTACACCATATATATACACGTATGTATGTATATTGCAGTACATTGTTTAACTAAAGTTTATCAGTATTAATATGTTGCTGTTGCAATTTATATGCGTAAAATATCAAAAGTGAGGCAATGGTGAAAGCAGTGAAAGAAGCGAAGTGAAGAGAAAGTGGTTGTGGAAAACTCTGCAAACTTTTCCTGTTGCAGTAACAACACAAAAGAGCCACAAATTTGATTTTCTGTCAAAAGATGCATTTACCCTGAAAGCATTTTCACAGGACGAAATATATGAGTGTGTTGATATCATATTTTGTATACTCGTATTATTGCATATGCTGAGTTTTGCCAAAAGCTGTTTACGTATATAAAAAACATTTTAGGGTTTATTTATTTGTTTATATAGCTTAAGAATGGCAGGTTGGTTGCTAGCAACTAGCAACTAGCAACTGTCTTGAAAAGTAAAAATTAATTTATATGAAAGTTTGAAACTCATAAAAGAGTATTTGAGCTTTAAAGATGTTGTAATGCAATAAAATGCATTACAACTGCACTAGGTATGCATGAGGTACATGATATTAAAAATAAATTCTTCAAGTGTTGGAAAAATAAAACAAATTTTGAACAACTATACAACAATGCTACAGGTTATTTAATTAATAATACTAGTATATAAAACATATTTTAATAATATATAAAATTGCATTACTTTTTTAATAAGTAAAACCTGTGTTAATTTACCTTTATTTCAGTTATAGCTAAGACTAATATCTTCAGATCTTACAGTTAGATTGCCGTGAACGCAATAAAGTTCTTAAGTCTATGGAACGTCTTGAACCTAAAAGAAAATTTGGAGTTAGAATTTCGGATATGTAATGTATTTTTCAAGTCTATGGAGTTTCTTGATCAAAATTGTTATTATTATTATATAAAAAGTTTGTTTTCCTGTCCAAACAATTTTCTTTCTTTGTCAAAATATTTTTTAATATTATTTAAACTAATTAGTTAAAATTTTATTTTTCTTATTTATTTTTAACTTACCTTAGATATTACGTTTCCTCAATTGAATGCAGTTAAAGCAAATTTGGTTGGAGGTACTAAACGCAGCCTTTCTCACTTTCATTATTTTTCGGTTGTTAATTAATTATGGCAGCAATAGTGTTGACACAAACAAAAAAAATTTCTTTAAAACCTCACAGAGAAAGTTCGAGTAGAGTTCCGTGGACGTAATGGCTCTTATAAGTGTTTGAAATGTCTCAATATCGGAAATGTAGTATTAAAACCTTTAGAGCTTTTTGGACAAAATCCTAATTAATTAAAAATAATTATTTAAAAACTTGTTTTTCATATGTAAACAAAAAAATAGTATTGTCACAATTAAGAAAAGCTCCAGAACCTTACACAAGAAGTACAGACAGAGTCCCGTAAACGTAATGAACTTTTTAAGTCTCTGAAATACTTTGAAATGCTTTGCTATCTCTATCCTCGGAATGTGTTGTATTTTTGAGGTCTTTGCACTTCTTCACCTTCCTGAGAATTCTTCTTCTTGTTATTAAGAATAATTATTTGAAAATTTGTTTTTCATATATAAACAAGAAAATAGTATTGTCACAATTAAGAAAATCTCCAGAACCTTACACAAGAAGTACAGATAGAGTCCCGTGAACGTAATGAACTTTTTAAGTCTCTGAAATATTTTGAAATGGTTTGCTAGAGATAGCCTCGGAATGTGTTGTATTTTTGAAGTCTTTGCACTTCTTCACCTTCCTGAGAATTCTTCTTCTTGTTATTAAGAATAATTATTTAAGAATTTGTTTTTTATATATAAACAAAAAAATAGTATTGTCACAATTAAAAAAATCTCCAGAACCTTACACAAGAAGTACAGGTAGAGTCCCGTAATCGTAATGAACTTTTTAAGTCTATGAAATACTTTAAAATGCTTTGCTATCTCTATCCTCGGAATGTATTGTATTTTTGAGGTCTTTGCACTTCTTCACCTTCCTGAGAATTCTTCTTATTGTTATTAAGAATAATTATTTAAAAATTTGTTTTTCATATATAAACAAGAAAATAGTATTGTCGCAATTAAGAAAATCTTCAGAACCTTACACAAGAAGTACAGAAAGAGTCCCGTGAACGTAATGAACTTTTTAAGTCTCTGAAATATTTTGAAATGCTTTGCTAGAGATAGCCTCGGAATGTGTTGTATTTTTGAGGTCTTTGCACTTCTTCACCTTCCTGAGAATTCTTCTTCTTGTTATTAAGAATAATTATTTAAGAATTTGTTTTTCATATATAAACAAAAGTTAAATAACCAGCATAACCGTTTTTATTTTTGAGTGTGTAAAAAACTTATTAACTTACCTTATCTTTTATTTCTTTCCAATTAATTATAAATGAAATAAACGTATTATGTATTTGTTTTACTAAGCAAAACTTTTCTTAATTTACAAATTATGGACGAGAGTAGTGTTGTAGCAAACAATATATAGAACCCAGTAGAAAACGTTTATGTAGAGTTGCAGAAATTTTACAAATTTCTTAATTTCTTCGATTGTTTTGGAACCTTCTAGGAAACGTATAGGTCTTGAGAAAATTATTTGACAACGTATTAAAATTTCTTGAACAATATGGTTATAAATTTTGATAAAAATTTTGAAAGTATATTCTACCGACTTAAACACCTATTAACTGGTGATAATTGACTGTAAATTGACTGTAATAATTTTATTATTGACTATAAAGAATAAGCACATATTTATTCACTAACCTTTTATTTTTTTCCGATTAAGTATGACTAAGAGAAAAATATGGCTGCACTAGTTATAGTGCAGTTAAGAATAATATCTCCGAACCTTGAAAAAAACGTTAAGAAATAGAGTTTCCGGAATGTATTATAAGAAATATTTACAAGTCTTCAGAACTGTTTCACCTTAAATGAAAGGTTTAAAATGAAATTTATGAAATGTGATGAGTTTTAACTTTATATTTTAAAATCTTTTATATCTGTTTTATTTAAAATTAAATAATTAAATATAACAAAGGTATGTGTAAAATAATTTTATTGAAAAAAAAATGGCTTACCGTAATGTAGATAATTTTTTTTATTTCTTGTTCTGTTCAGAAAAAAAAAATTCAAAAAATAAGTTTCTTCAAAATATTTTACAAAATTTATTCTATCTTACTAAAATATGCGATTTTTTATTATAATATAAAAATCTATTTATTTTGTTAGAGTGATTGCGCTTACAGCGTAGCGGTTTTCCAACTTTCACAATGAAGTATTAATGCTGAAGAATAACAACGTTGATACTTAAGTACAGTTGATTCATCAGTTATCGAAGTTTGGACGACATACGATAGCCAGGATTGAAATAAAAGTTGTGCCTTTGGCTTTTACATATTGAGGCTAAGGCATACGGATTGCATATCGTACAGGTTGAGACGTACATAAAATCTACAAACTTCTAAAAACTAAATAATTAAAATACTAATTTGAATGTATTTCATATATATATTTTTATAATTATTGAAAATAATTTAATAATTTCAACTTCATATTCGATTTATTGTTACTAATACATAATTTATACAAATACTTATCCAACCTCTTTACCATATTTATATATGGATTCAGTTTGAAAAATGGTACATATCACTGCATATATGGTATATAAAGATAAGTACAATTATTTAAACAGCAAAAAATATAAATGTTTATTACAATATCAATGTTGAATTTATCATATATTATTTATCGTATCAAAAAATTTCCTAATATATTTAAAATGTTATTAATTATCATAATTTATTTTATATTTATGCCATACAGACGAAGCAAATTGTGTAGAGATTTTCAAAGAATACCAGGGAATCCAATACGCTTCGAATTTCCTGATATCCATATATAAATAAATCGAATACATACATAAAAATATTGCCGTTATAATGTACGTCCTTGGTAACATAGCTACAACTTAAAGTATAGATTTTAATCCTAAGTGAGAGAGATGAAGTTAAAAATTTCTGAATATTTTCAATTTCTAAACTACTTTGAAGCCATGTTATATGGAACAACGAACCATCAACGAGTGTGAACGTTTGAAAATTTCAATAC